AACTCGCTGTAAATTTGGAGGCATGACTGCTGAGCTGGAAATAAATGGGCTCAGCTGCTAAGCAGAAACATTATGGCACTCCAGAGGTGGGGAGCACGGATTAAAGAACAGGGTAGAGGCACCCTGTAGAAGTGCCCTGTGTGTATCCTTGAATGTTCTACAGCCAGCATTAAAAGCCAGGATAAATGGCTGTTACCATCAAAAGGGCAGAATTCCTGCAGGACCTTTAGGTCTACAGTCTAAAATTATCCAATTGAAGCCATTGCTTGAAAGTAATGTTCTCAGCATTATCAGCCACCACCCAAAATCTGTAGTCTCTTACCACTCAAGCTATTGACAGAAAAACAAACACAAGCTGAAGATTGGATAAATATCTTTTATGTTGAAATGCATAAGTGAGTCCATTCGATTATGATACTGGCTACAAAGAATCACAAGCCAAAGAGAAAATAGGAGTCATGTGGTGCTGTTATCCCCAAATTGGTGGTGGCTGTGATGGGGAAAGGCCGGGTAATTAGAAGAGGGGGGAAAAAACGAGGCAGGAAACTGATGGAAGACTTATGCATTGTAAGAATTGAAGGAAAGAACTGTAGAAATATTTGGGAAAGAACAAATTGCCATTCTCTAGAGCAGGGGGTGGGGAACTATGGCCCCTTTATGATCTGTGGACTTCAACTCCCAGAATTCCTGAGCCAGCAATTGAGCCAACCAGTTGAACTCCATAGATCATAAAAGGGCTATAGTTCCCCACCCCTGCTCTAGACCTCGTTCACTGTTCATAAAACCAGAACTCTGAATTCTACAACCTTCTGCTCTATCTATGGGCTACCTTAGATACTTGTGCAAATTGCTCTTTCCTATAACATTATTGGCCTAAGATGCAGATAGGCAACAACTAGTTCAATATATTGGAATTCTATATATTTTCAAAATATTCTGTCTGCAGAGGGGGGAAACATGAAAGTCTACCAAGCTTCAGTTGTATTGGTCTACAACACTTTCCCTCAATTAGCAATGAGGAAGAAGGGGGGAGAGGCCCCCACAAAATTGTAGATCAGTATGCAGAACATTGCTATCAACTGAATATAAAGGAGAGAGAAAAAAGGCAAGAAATTGCTTTTAGGGTATGAGAGGAATAAATATCTTAATATTTCATCTTTCCTAAATTGGTCCCACTGTCAGCAGAATAAGTCATCCTTTTACCTCACCCCACCTGCCAACTAAATTCAATTCTCTTTCATCTGTAGCACAAATTCATATGAGTAAACATTTCAAGGGTGTGAATAAACATTGCACTTTCAATGTGCCATTTCATGACAATTCAGTAGCTGACGCAGGCCACAGCAGGAAAAATTTAGTTTTCAATAGAGTTCTATCATCAGCTAAATAAATACCAAGATTTTTTTTTCTGCACCAAAAAAGTAATTGGGAAGAATCACAAGGGGATGTTTACATTCCGTTCATTAGTGATGCTCTCGGGATAGAGAGTAAGATCTCAGTTTACCATACCTCAGTTTTAAAGCTGTAAAAAGACAGTCAGGTGTAGCTTGGAAGAGATGGATGTCCCTTTAGAAAGATGGAAACATGGAAGGTACACATATTCATTATATACATATAAATCAATTCATTATATAATAATCAATGCAGGAAAGAGAAGAGTTTCCATCTCAACATGCTGTTCTGTGGAAGAAGACAGACAACTTACCCAAAGTCTAATACCAAATTTGCCATTATCATTGCTCTCTTTCAAGATTTACAGCTATTGAGTTGGCGATGGGAAACCATGTCAGAGGAAGGAGTTAATGTTGGCAAGTTACCATATTTTTTGGAGTATAAGATGCACATTTCCCCCCACCTTAAAAGTGGGTGAAAATTTCAGTGCATCTTATAGACTGAATATGGGCGTTTTCGGCCTCCCGAACCCTCCATGCATCATGTTTGCCCCCCTGCCCCCCTGAAGCACACTGCAGTGCTCCACACATCCCATGTTCACCAAAAATGAGCCCGTTTTTGGCCTCCCGCACCCTCATTGTCATAATTGAGAAATGCTGCATCACATTGTATGTGGCACAATCTCCTGGCCCTTACCCTATTTTTGGACTATATAATGCAGCGGACTACAAAATGCACCAGACTATAAGACACACCTAGATTTAGAGGAGGAAAATAAGAAAGTTGTTTTTGGCCTCCCCCAGCCCGTTTTTGCCCACCACGGCCACCAGAAGCACTCTGCAGGCCAAAAACAAGCACGTTTGGCAAAAAACCAAACAGAGGGTTCAGGTCAAAAACAAGATGCACGAAGAGTTCAGGAGTCCCAAAAGATGTGTCTTGTAGTCCAGTGCATCTTATACTCCGACAAATATGGTAATGCCCAGGAGATTGTGCCATATACAATGTGATGAAGCATTTCTCAACTATGACAATTTAAAGATGTATAGACTTCAACTTCCAAAATTTCCTAGCCTATCAAGATTGGAAAACACTGGTGCAATGCCTAGGAGGGATAAGGACTGGTGAGGTTTTTACAAGATTTTGGGAAGGAAAATCTACTAACAACGTGTGAGGTGCAAGGAATCAAGGTTTTAAGAAGACAAATACATCAAGTATAATTAATATTCCACTGTAGCAGATAAGACTAGAGAAAGCACCATGGAGGTGAAGCTGAAGATTACAATTTGCAAATGGATATTAATTGAAATGAATATTAAGAATTATTTTAACCACTAATTAATGGAGAGAGAAGGCAGTCATTCTTCCTTGATAGCTTCCCAATTTAAAAAGCATTTCAAGGGAGTAACTCAGAATCACTTAAACTAGATATCCTTTGAGATGTGGTTTTCCAACCTGGCATCCTGCAGATGTGCTAAAATTGGGACCTCTGGAACTACAGTTTTGACATATCTAAAGAAGTGCAGGAGAGTCCGTGTTTTAAGCCTGTGAAGAAATATCTCCTCTACACACTACAATGGCAGCAACTAGAGCAAGTTCTCTCCCCCAGAACACTTTCTATATAAATGTAGCATTCTGAGATTGTTCTTTCTCCATTTGTTACATATCCAGGTTTATGGTGGCTCTGTTAAATGTGAAGTTCTCCAATTTAATAAATCCATGCCATAGCATAATTCCATGCCATAGCATTTGCAGCCTCAGGTACAGTTAAGTGATTCAGTGTGCGCTTCATATTTAGATCGTTTTCATTGCACAACTACATTTTACTATACAGTTGTCATTTTGCTGCATTATCAATCAGGATATTTTCTAAAGCTTGGCAGCCATTTTATAGTCCTGAAATAAGAGCAGAAAGTATAATCTGGATAACTCCGAATTAAATTTCAGAATACCCCTCTCACAAAATACAGTCGTTATCCTTTGGCCAGTTATTTTTTATACAAAATACACATGGCATGAAATTAGCTGGGTAATCCATGGTTTAACCATTTCTAACCAGATGAGTCATCCGGTACCCTAACTACCTAGGAGAAATTAAGAGGACCTTCTTCTACTCTTTCATTCGCTATTTTCAGTCAAATCCCCGACCTACATCATTTGAAGGAACATCACAAAAACACAGAGAAGCTGAACTCCAGTGAAAAGAGTACAAGGCAGAAACAATTTTTACAAAATTCCTCACATCGGTAGTCTGATATGAGAGAGGATAACCTTGATCAAATTTCAGGACATGCCAAAGGATGATTGTAACAAGAGTAATTTCTCTCTTATCTACACTCTAAAACTTTCTTTCTCTTGATGTAGCTATTTTATATATATTATATGTATATCATTTATATATATATAAATCTGGCTGTGTGTGCTGTGTGTGGTGTGTGTGTGTGTGTGTGTGTGTGTGTGTGTGTGTG